TCAAGGCTTATATCAATCATATCTCTAAGGTTGAATTCTTTATAGCTTTCAAAGCTGCATATCAACAATCGATTACAATTCAGAATATAAAAGCTGGCTTTCAAGGAACAGGACTAATACCATTCGATCCTCAAGCTATACTCTCGAAATTGGATATTCGAATTTGTACACTTACCCTTTTACCCATTCCCTTGGAATCTGCCGATTCTTGGGTCTCTCAAACACCTTATAATCCAACTGAAGCTTTTTTATAATCGATTTTAGTAAGATCTCGAATTGCTTGACATCAATCAAGCTCTTCTACATCTATATTCGAGATTATAACTGTTTTGGCTAAGGGTACAAAACAATTAGCTTATAAAGTTATAATTTTAAATACAGAGAATTGTATACTTCAAAAGGCAAATAAGATATTAAACAAATGTTAATATATTAAAAAAATTCAATTATAGAATAGAGAAGTATTTACTGGACAGGAAACTGAGGATATATTATTATAACAAAAGGTAGAGATTCAGATTTGATATGATGAGCATCAAAATGAAAGAAATTCTAATAGGGAATCTTTTATTAGTTGATACTATAGTAAATATGGAAAGACTGGTTATAATTCAAGAACTTGTCAGAATGATGTAATAGATCCTAGTTTATTAGATTCTTAACAGTTTTAATCGATTCATTAAATTATTCTTGAATAATATAGCTTTGAAGTAATAAATCGAGGTAAAAGTGGCCAACCCACTGATATGGCCGACCCACTGATAAACCACATTATAGTATATCTATCATACATTGATTTTCTCTAGCACCAGTCAGTAGCTAGCTAGTAAAGATAGGTAGGGAAACTATAAGCTCGTTTTTTTTATTTTCTGGAGCATAATTTGATCTAGTTGCAAATGTTGTAAAGGAGTGAAGGTAGGTGTGAAATCATAGGAGTAGTAGTAGTAGTAGTAGTATTATTTTACATCAGGAGAGCAGCTTATGGCTGCCCTCAGAATCTCCCTAAAGGTATACAGATATTCTAAGCTATAGTCTTATAATACATGAAATGAAAGTACCTTAGAAAGAAAAATGAAAGCCTTACAACTATTCCCAATAATCGTATATTACCTTCCAATTTGTATATTCTCTTCTCTGTTGTTTGAGATATTCCTACTGTTTTGTTTGATATAAGCAATTGTGTTTGTTTTGTAGATCTGCTATTGTATAAGCTCTAATGGTTCAATAAATTACTTCTGATATAGCGATTAAAGTATTTGTTATACTCCAGAAAGTATTCTCAGATATGTTTTCACATATCTTGTTAATATTCAATCAGGTTTTTTATTCCTATTAATAATATTGTTTTTCTGTATACATTCTGTAAAGAAAGTTGATAATTTTGTTTATATTATATATTACAAATCAATCCTGGTAATAAATATATATTGTTACAAGATTTAGATTGTTTGTTTATAGAATACAAACTTGCAGCCTTCTACTTTGGACATATATCTTTATAGAACTTTGTGAGCTTTAGCAGTTTTGCAAAATTTATGGGGTTGTTTAAGATTTGATATAAGTATTGAATACCTTTCTTATTTGTTAATAATAATATAAAAGACTTGTTTAGCTATTATTCAAATGTACTTTTTGTTTTCTGGCAATAGATCAAATGAATAAGGGTTTTGGGTCTTTCGCAGAAACATTTCGTATTTTTTGTATACCCGAATTTCTTATGATACTATCCGAAATCTCTATATAAGATTTGGATAGTTATCAGTTTGTATAAGACTACTCATGGAAATAAAAGCTTTGGTAATAATTTGACTTTATATACCAGATTCTATTGTTTATACCACAGTGAAAGGATAGGTTTATATAATATTTATTATTGTTACTGGGCCTCTTCTTTTAGGATATATATAATCGATCTTACCCCATTATAGATGGATTGGGATACTGGTCTAGTATCCCAATTGGGTTTCTTAATACCAAGGTTAATGAGGTGATCGGCTATCTCGTTTCCCTCAATGTTTTTATACCCCAATGATTACTTAATACAAATATTGTTGTCTTTTATGATTCTATAGCAGTTATTAAATATCTATTATAATAATATAAAGATATTAGCCTTTATACCCTAAATAACCGAGATATTATCAATATATATCCAAATTTTCTGATTGGTATATCTGGTATTCTTGAAGGTACATTCCCAGCCTTTTTATACTCCAATAACTTTTATATCGAAGATATAAAACTAAATATTAATAAAACCGAAATCCACCAGTATCTGGTTTTTATTTAAATATATTATATACCTATAATCTACAATATATTTTCCTTTTGTATGATTTTCTGATTTATTTAAGAAAATAATGATATCTGTGTCTGACAGGATTTTTTTATTAGATATTGAAGGCTTTTATGGCCGTTTTCTTATCGATTCCTTCCGTTGAATCTATTTGGCAATCAGATATATACCATAATGGTTCGAATATAGACCTTGGGATTAAAAGGATAAAGAAACCAAGTTGTTAGACTTTGGTTTTTATTCTTTGTCTTTTGCTTATATCCTATCCTTTAATAATTATAAAGGGTTTGATTCTTTTTGTAAACAGATGGGTTATATTTATACTTTGGAGGTATAAGGCAAACTTCAGTTTAACTTCCTCGAAGACTATTATAACTAAGGGGAGATCTGTTTCACGGTAAAAGGTGGTTATTAATATAGTTTTCCAGGCTGGTATGACTCCTTATATTGTTACTATAAAAACCTTTTCGATTTGTATCATATATCAGCTGAGGCAGGCGTTAACCTTTGTTTATCCTGGTTTTAATCTTTGCATAGCCTTGAATCTATCTCTATACCAAACCTTAGTTCTGTATAAAAGTGAGGGAAGTATGTATATAATTACTGCTTTGTATATAATATATATTGGAGGGCCTTATATAACTTTGGCTAGGTTTTGTATATACTTTGTTATTGCCCTAGCTTTGCTTATACATTTAATGATATACCTACAAAAGTTCAGTTTTCTATCGAACTATATTCCCAGCTATTTCAATGCTAAACAAATATTTGTTTCTATAGCTATTATCAGATGTATTATAAGTTCTTCATTTACCTTGATAATAAATATTGCATTGTTATTACTTATAGAGATATAGATCATTTCCAGTTTTTCTGGAACAAAAACGATACAATTGTTTGCTCCCCACTTTATAATATCTTATACATCTATAATAAAACAT